CTCTTGGTTTTCTCTTTAATTACGAGAAGTCTCAACTTTCTCCGGCACAGAGGTGCAAATACCTTGGATTTGTCTTCGACTCAAATTCTCAGTCGATATCAATTCCTCCGAAACGTCGTGATAAGCTATTGCAGATGGCTCGCAAATTTTCTAGACAATCTAAAAGTCAAATCCGCGATTTTTCAAGACTGATTGGCTCACTAATATCCATCTGTCCGGCGGTTCAGTACGGCCTTTTATATATAAAAGGATTCGAGCGGGAAAAGTTTCACGCTCTAATAAACTCCAGAGGAGATTATAATGCTATATGAATATCTCTGCAGGTCTGGCTCCAGATATTCAGTGGTGGATTAAAATATTTTCGGATTCGAACCAGACCAACGCTATTCGTTCGGGAACACCGACGCGCGAGATATTTACGGATGCATCCCTATCGGGTTGGGGAGCTGCTTGCGGACAAAACTATACGCGTGGATGGTGGGGCGAGAACGAAAGAAATAATCACATAAACATCCTTGAATTAAAAGCAGCATATTACAGTTTGAAATGTTTTGCAGCAGATTTGAACGATTGCGAAATCCTTTTACGGATAGATAATACGACTGCGATAGCGTGCATCAACCGATTGGGTTCCGTCCAATACCCCCATCTAAATGAAAAAGCAAGAAAGATATGGAGATGGTGTGAAGCGCGAAATATCTTCGTTTTCGCGTCCTATATCGCCTCAATAAATAATACCATAGCGGACCGAGAATCTAGAGTAGTTAGCGATGACACAGAATGGTCATTGTCACGTGAGGCCTATTCTCAGATATCGTCGGAGTATGGCCCCCTTGATATTGATATATTTGCATCTATTATCAACGCCAAATGCCCGATGTATGTTTCCTGGCTTCCAGAACCGAGCTCGGTAGCGGTTGACGCATTCACTTTATCCTGGTCAGGAATAAAGTTTTACGCTTTCCCCCCTTTCATTCTCTTACCTCGCGTTCTTAGAAAAATCCTAAATGAGAAAGCGCAGGGTGTTGTTGTGGTCCCCTGGTGGCCCTCTCAAGCGTGGTTCCCTTTGTTCTGCAGCCTGTTAACCAAAGAACCTTTAATTTTCCCACCATCTAGACATTTACTCTCAACTCCTTTCAGGGATCATCACCCGGCATGGAGGTCCCTTTCCCTGGCGGCCGGGAGCTTATCCGGCTAGCCCTTAGCTATAAGCAGGTACCGGTGGAAGCAATGGAGGTAACCCTAGCTTCCCTATCGGACGCCACAATCAGGCAATATACGAAGCCTCTGCGGCAATGATGGTCCTTCTGTAGATCGTCAGCGACTCCTGTATTTGAGCCAAGTCCTGCGCAATGCTTGGAATTTTTAGCACAGAAATGGAAAAGCGCAAATTCATATTCTTCTATCAATACCGTTCGTTCGGCGATCTCTTCCCACACAGCACATGATATCATTCGAATATTCTGTACTCATACTGAATGTTCTGTGATAATACAGGATAAACTGAGAACATTCGTATAATATCTTTAGTAGTACGTTATTTCTCGTATGTGCATGGGATATACGCGGAA